CTATTTATCTTTCAGTCTATTGAAAATTTGAAATCTCCGTTAAAAAGGTATTGTGGGGTTATTCCTCATCATAAAGTTAATAATTTGACATATTTGAATGTTATTTTTTTATAAATGTTGATTTTTGTTCGAAATGAATATCATCATTGTTATTGATAAAGTATAGTTAATGATGGCTGTAGCTGTTACTCCGTGATAGAAAATCCTCATTAAAATTAAAAATGAAACTTTCTTTAAATTCAAAAGGTGTATTTTTAGTGGAGATTAATTTTTGGGAAGTTTTCGTCCTTCTTCTTCTCCATCTTGATACAAAAAATGTAGGATTCTTCCTAAGTTATTCGAAATGCTACTGAAGAGCCGATAAACATCGGATGTCTAGCAGTGAGGATGACAGAATTCCATGTAAGTCAGATGTTTTTTCTTTCGTTGATTAAAGTGTATAGGAATCCTGTAAATAATATCTGATTCGATTCCATTTTGAAATACAAACGAAATAGAGAAAAATTTTTTTCGTATAATTCAGCATTCTAATGAAAGTATATGTTTCGATAGTATTTTTCTTTCGTCTAAGTCAATGTTTATATGAAAACAGCTGATTCGAAAGGGCTTCTTCTTCCAGTTTGTCTGATTCTTTGTAAAGAGTTGATATTTCAAATTGATTGCTTCCTTCCTTTCTTTGGAGGATTCTCACATTTTTTGTATCAAGATGGAGAAGTAGAAGGCTAAACACTTTCTTTTCCAAAAACTTCCTATATTTTCATACCACTTGTGGAAAGTTTTATTTCTCATTTTTCATATTATTTTCAGTTTGTCATGTATGGATATATGAATAAAATGAATGGAACCTGAACAGATATAATAATTTTTTTTCCATTGTCTTTTCAACAATTATCGGAATAAAATATTTTTCAATGATTCAACAACTACTCACTGTATTATAAATCTCAGGGATCTTTGAATCCTCCTCAGTTCGTCGATATAATTGGCCATCAAGTCAAAATATTCACGAGCATCAGCATCACTTGGTGTTCTGTTATTATTGGCAAGAATGATTTCATTTCTGTAACAAAGTATTGAATTCTCAAAGGGTGAATAACTTTTGTAATCTCTTTCTTTTTATCAAATATATACTACAAAGCAGTACAAGGCAAGGCAAACAGAAAGGTTCATTGAAACTTGTCACCCACCATATATCAGAATTATAAGAAAAAATAATACATCGATCACACTGCCTCATTGTGATATCAACTCTCGAATTACCATACATCATTTTGAAGAGAATTCAGGCGGAAACAATAATGGTATATCTAATCTATTCAAAAAACACACTTCAATGTGAGATTCCCCATTCAACTGTAATCACAAATGAGTTTTCAATTTCATAGAAAAAATAAACTCAAACGTTTGCTAGCCCATATACCAAATTTTCAGTCAGTCAGTCAGTCAAATGTTAGTCATGAACGTGTTTCATAAATGTCTATGTACATGAATATATGCCGTGTAACTACATTCTAGAATAATTTTACTAGTTCGGACTTCCATTGCCTACTATATAAAAATGATTTGAAATCCCTAAAACAACTAAAAACGAAGAATTAAAAATGAATAGCTGAAAATAACAATTATATTAAGCAAAAATAACCTGAAATGAAATAATAATGAAATTAAATAAATACAAGTAAAATAGAACGATTGAACAAAAAATAAAAATAAAGTATGAAAATTATAAAGAAATAAAATGAAAATAAAAATTAAAAAGTTAAGAGATTCCAAGCCACGTTAGTTAACGACGTTTCGATTGTTAGTATCTACAATCGTCTTCGGGTGATGACTGGACTGATTCCTCCGAGAGATGACTATTTATAGGTCGTTCGAGTACTTTCACTTATCCCCGCTTTCCATTTTCCGCTTCACTGGTTCCGTGGGAGATGACCGTTTTGGCGGGAGTTGGCCATTTTTCGCTTGATGATGGGTTTCCATATGTTGCGTATTTCTACGCTGGCTTGGCTGAATACGTTGTTGGACAACATGTATGCGGCTTCCTTGAATTTTCTCCTAAACCAATGTTCCTCTCTGTGCAAGATCTCAGCTTGGGACCACTCGATGTTGTGTTGATGGGTCCAAACATGGTCTGCTATTCCTGATTTGCTGGTTTCCCCTCGCTGTGTGTGTTTCTTGTGCTCGGCAATGCGAACATTCAATGGCCTCTTAGTTTCACCAATATAGGATTTTCCGCACTCACAGGGTATCCGGTAAATGCAATTCTTGGAATCGCAGTCCGCGTTTGGTGGCCTGGTTTTCGTGAGGCTGCTACGGATAGTGTTACCGGATCTGAAGCAGGTTCTGATGTTGTACTTGGAACCAATTCTTCTTATCCTCTCCGATAATCCTCTGATGTAGGGAAGTGCAAGCACTGGTTGTGACGGCTTCTCTTCCTTGCGAGGCTCCTGCTGTCTTTTAGCCAAAGTCTTTTCTACCATCGCTTTGGAGTATCCATTCCGCTGAAGATCATTTTTGATGATGTCTAGTTCCTTCTCGAGACCTTCCTTCGTATTACAGAGGCCGAAAGCACGGTCTAATAGAGTCTTAATGATTCCTCTTTTAGTCGACTGATGGTGGTGGTTCAGATACTGTCCCGTGTGAGTGGGTTTTGGTATACATATGTTTCCCACTTAGTGTCGGTCCTCTTCACCAGAACGTCTTAGAATGGCAATTTCTTGTGAAAGTGATGAAAGGTCTTACGCTGTTGATGTGTTGCAGGAATGCGTCTGGTTTAGTATTCCCATGGTTCCATATTACGAAAGTGTCGTCAACATATCTCAACCAGACTCGAGGTTTCTTGTGGGCTTCTTCAATGGCCAGAGTTTCAAACCACTCCATATATATGTTGACTATGACTGGTAAAAGTGGCGATCCCATTGGCCGTCCGTCATCTTGTGTAAAGAATTCGTCCTTCAGTTGGAAATAAAAATTTCGTACACAGCATCGTAGTAAATCCATAGTCTCTGCCACCATCGCTTTAGAGTAGCCATTCCGTTGAAGATCATTTTTGATGATGTCTACTTCCTTCTCGAAACCTTCCTCCGTATTACAGAGGCCGAAAGCACGATCTAATAGAGTCTTGATGATTCCTCTTTTAGTCGACTGATGGTGGTTGGATTCGTGGTTCAGATACTGTCCCGTGTGAGTGGGTTTTCGGTTTACAGATGTTTCCCACTTAGTGTCGGTCCTCTCCACCAGAACGTCTTAGAATAGCAATTTCTTGTGAAAGTGGTGAAAGGTCTTACGCTGTTGATGTGTTGCAGGAAGGCGTCTAGTTCAGTATTCCCATGGTTCCATATTACGAAAGTGTCGTCAACATATCTCAACCAGACTCGAGGTTTCTTGTGGGCTACTTCAATGGCCAGAGTTTCAAACCACTCCATATACAGTGTCACCGATAAAGTCCGCATCAAATGGAAAACATTTTTTTTTTATCGTTTTATGTGAAATTTGATTTTGGCAGTAGATTTTGCTTAAGAAATGATGTCAAATGGCGTCTACAAAATAGGTCACGTGATTTCCTTAACCTGTCAAAATTGACATTTAAAAAAAGAAACATATAGGCCTTAATGTTTTAATTACATTTTGTATATGTATATTCCATTTCATAGTATCGTCAATTGTTATACCTAAATATTTTATATATCTAACTCTATTTATTTCTATTATTTTATTGTTGACATGTAACTGTACAACATTAAAATCTGGTAAACCATTTTCATAACAACTAAATGGAACAAAGTACGTTTTTGAGTAATTAACAGTTAATATATTATAATCAAACCAGAGCATCATCACACATCTTCTGTCACTTTTGATACGTCAACTATCGCGTTTTATGATGAATCTGCTAGTTTTACCAACATCCCAGCGCGATGTGCTGCGCTTTGTGTGAGAAATAAAAAAGCCTGAAGTAGTTCTCTTCTACCATCGAAACGTTCCAATCCTAAAGGTTGTTGCTGGAACTATAAACTCTTCTCTTTCATCTCAGATACCATCTTGATATTATTCGGCAGAAGTTTCGCCGAATACCTGTTTATACAGGTGACAGAAATCAATCACTCTTGATTCATTACACCTAGCCAGTATACACGAATTTTGAACTCAGATATCGCTGTTTGATGGACTAGGGAGTGGTCATGGGTTAGTGGTGCCGGTGATCCCTTCGAATATATTGAAACCTCGAGTGATATTTTGACTTTTATGAGAAAGAGAATGGGAAGAGAACAAAACGATGTCATCTCTTTCTCAAATTTTACTTGCTCGCGCCAAAAACTCGTGAGAAAACAAAATCAAATTGATGAACCAATAAGGTTTTATCTATGTTGTATTCCTCTCATATTCCAATAAAAGATAGTGTAAATTTGATTTTATGGATTCTATGATGTTTCCAAAGATAATAACCATATCAAAATAGGAGAACTAAATCACGAATATCAAAGGTTTATCAAGATTAACAGATACGAGAAGGAAAATAGAGGTTGACTGATAGGTCCGTCGTTGGAGAAATTATGTTCTCGGATATGTGTGTTTTGAGATAAACGATTTCAACGGTTGAAAAACAAAGGAATCCAATCTTTTTATCCACGAAAATGCCAAGAGTGTGGTCCTCAATAAGGACGAGATACTTTCTCATGAGTTTTTTCAATGTGTACATAGTCTTCTCGAGTAGAAGACAGAAGTCAAATTCATACCTTCTTCATGATTATTTTTGTAGTTTTGAAGAATATATATTCATATTTACCTCCATACACCACTGTTATCGTTTTCCTTGATTTGGTTAGTGAGATGTTCCAATAATGCTGCGTTCACAGACGTATACCATATCAAAACCTCTCCTACTGATCCCTCTTCAGATTTCATAATATATTGCCTGAAATAAAACCTTGTCATCAACTTCTTCATATTGAGTTATCTCTCGAATAGTCTATTTTGTAGACGCCATTTGACATAATTTCTTAAGCAAAATCTACTGCCAAAATCAAATTTCACATAAAACGATAAATAAAAAAGTTTCCCATTTGATGCGGACTTTATCGGTGACACTGTATATGTTGACTATGACTGGTAAAAGTGGCGATCCCATTGGCTGTTTGTCATCTTTTGTAAAGAATTCGTCCTTCAGTTGGAAATAACAGTTTCGTACACAGCATCGTAGTAAATCCATAATTACTTCTATAGGTAGATTCGTTCTCTCTTTCAGGTTCCCGTCTTCGGATAGCTTTCTCTGTACGATTTGGAGTGCTTCTTCGACCGGAACGTTGGTTGGAACGTCAAAACTAATTGGTTGATCTTCCTGTGTGATTTCAATTGACCCTAGTAGTTCGACAAAATGCCTTGCATTCTTCACAAGAGACGATGTTTTTCCTTGTAATGGTTGTATTATGGGAAGTAAATATCTGGAAAAGTTTTTGAGTAGCCGAATCTCTGGAGCTGTGTATTTGTTGTGAATTTTGGGTAATCCATCCAAGTGAGGGGGCTTACTGTGGTGCGGTGTTAGCGATGATCTTTCCTTGTCCGAAAAATAGACTTGGTGTTTTTTCAAAATCTGGTACAAATTTCTACAATTGATGCAGTAGGGTACGTACGATCTTTGTGTATCGTCCCTTCTGAAGAACCTCTTCATTTTCATTTCTTCAATTTCAATTTTTGTTGAATCGTTCTATTTTTACTTGTATTTTATTTCACTATTATTCAATTTCAGGTAATTTTTGCTTGATATATTTGTTATTTTCAGCTATTCATTTTCAATTCTTCTTTTTTAGTTGTTCCAGGGATTTCAAATCATTTTCATATATTGGACAATGGAAGTCCGAACTAGTGAAATCCATCATGAAACATTCTCAATCACCTTCAAAACATACATTCTAGATGGTGGATGTTAAAACCCTGGTTCTCAAATGCTTTGTAAACAAGGTTTTCAATTTCAGTTACTTACTTAGCTTTAATATTACCATAATTCGGCATGGTACTGGCTAACATTCGATATTCTTCTTTTATCAGAGACACATAATTCAATGAAGTATTTAGTAGATCTTTTCCAAGCGCATCTTGCATAATGAAATTTTTATAGTTCTGGTGGCGTAGATGTCCTTTTCCAAAATAGTTCACTCCATAGACACTTGCTATTCCTATACTCTCGATGCTTTTCAGGAGATTTTTGAAGGCCAACAGGTATCTGAAATGATCGATATGAATTATTTAAACTGACGATATAAATTCGAAAATAAATGGAAATGAAAGTGAAATCTATTAGTATCCGGATGATTATCCAAGGACATTATAATAACCATCTAAATTCTACTCATGACTGGGGAGCGAGCCGCAGATACCATTGAATTTTTGTGGGAGTAACTTTCTTATTCCTACCAACAATGACATTTATTGATTTCAAATTCGTACTATAAGTTATCTGCCGGCATTTTGTATAATCGAATAATCTAACGTGTTCACGAGTATAAGAGTAGAGTCAATAAAATATTATGAAGACTAGAAGGGACAAAGCAAATAGCCCAGGTAGAACTGAATTATATAACAGATGGCGCTATAAGACGTAAGTGTTGTTCCTGGCGTTACTTTATTAACAAAATGTTTCTCTTTGACGTTCGAAATCACCAAATTACGTTTTTACACATTTTGTTACAGTTAGAGAAACTTTCAACTGACAGTTAACGCATCAGAACTGGCGTATCGAAAATCTGACAGTTGACGAGTCATAAGGGAGAGATAATATATCGATTTCAGTGATTTGGGAGCATTATCACACATCTTCTGTCACTTTTGATACATCAACTACCGCTTTTTAAGACGAATCTGCTAGTTTTTTCAACATCCCAGTGTGATATGATGCGCTGTGTGTAAGATATAAAAAAGCCTGAAATAGTACTCTTCTACCTTCGAAACGTTGCAATCCTAAAAGTAATCCTCTATTATCTTGGATTACATCTTGATGTTATACGGCAGAAGTTTCGCCATGTTTATACAGATGACAAATCAGTCACCCTTGGTTCATTACACCTAGCCAGTATACACGAATTTTGAACCCAGATATCATTGTTTCATGGATTAAGGAGTGGTCATGGGTTAGAATATATTGAAACCTCGAATGATATTTTGACTTTTATGAGGGAGAAAATGAAAAGAGAACAAAACGATGTCATCTTTTCCTCAAATTTCACTTGCTTGCACCGAAAGCTCGTGAGAAAGCAAAATCAAATTAATGAATCAATAAGGTTTTTTCTGTGTTGTGTCCCTCTCATGTTCCAATACAAGATAGTGTAAATTTGATTTCATGGATTCTATGATCCTACCATCTTGTTTCCAAAGAAAATAACCATATCAAAATAGAAGAACTGAATCACGAATATCAAAGGTTTATCAAGAGTAGCAGATACGAATAGGAAAGAGGTTTACTTCTTATAGGTCCGTCGTTGGAGACATTATGTTCTCGAATATTCGTGTTTTGAGATAAACGGTTTCAACGGTTTGAAAAACAAAGAAATCCAATCTTTTTCTCCATGATAACGCCAAAATTGTGGTTCTCAATAAGGGATAGTTTGTGTTCTCGACTATAAGATAGAAGTCAAATTCATACCTTCTTCATGATTATTTTTGTAGTTTTGAAGAATATATATTCATATTTACCTCCATACACCACTGTTATCGTTTTCCTTGATTTGGTTAGTGAGATGTTCCAATAATGCGGCGTTCACAGACGTATACCATATCAAAACCTCTCCTACTGATCCCTCTTCAGATTTCATAATATATTGCCTGAAATAAAACCTTGTCATCAACTTCTTCATATTGAGTTATCTCTCGAATAGTCATATTATAGTTTCAGTTTTTTTTAGGAATGCAAAACTGGCTGGATTAGTGAGGACACATACGAAATCAACCATAAATGAAAGTTTATTGGAAATTATATATCAAGTTGGAGCAGATAGCCAAGAATGTTTTTGTCGTTTACAACCTGTACTAGAGTATAGGGGCCAGTCATAAGTAATCCTCGTATATTTGGGTGTTAACGGTATTGACTACTTTCGTCATTAGTTTCGTGTCCTAGGTAGGCAATGTTAATAACTCCTCGAGCCACCTAGAGAGCAAAATGGCTTTTCACAGTCCGTCAGCCATGTAACGTTGCAAAATTATCCCAACTTCAGCTACATAAATTCTCTATAGAAAAATATCTGGTTGAGGTGAGTAACCTTTGTTATTAAAAATACCAATTAGATGCCTTGATAAATTGGACGGATTGATATTCTGCAGACTGCACTTGGAGTATTGATGGACTCCCAAGTGACTCAAAAACTGATCTGGGATTTCGTTGAGGAACAAACTGAAATATGATGGGCAGTTGCAGAGCGACTGCATAATGGGTAGCAGGAAACACAAAGAAATCTTGCAAAAAAAACCAGGACAGTATAAGGAGACCTAAGCTGCAGACAAAGCAATGAAGGAACTTAAGAAGCTCATCGTATTCTACGTAGAAATGAGATACTAGATTACGGAAGACCAGCAATTCATGAACAACCGTAATCAAACAACTTGTACGAACTCACAGAAAATAGAAATGGAATGAGATTTTTGATCTACATATGAGGTTGGAAATACCTTTTTCCAATATTGATTAATACCTGTATTATCGATCAAAACGGAAAGAGCGATGGTGAACAGAGTATAGTGAAAGATTTGTCAAATGAAACCTCAGTGGTTTGTAATAACATCATAACTACTTTGCAAGATCGCCCGTCGTTAACCCATATCATAATATCATATTTAGAAATATTCGAAGACCATATATTACAAACTTTATTCTTTGTCAAACATTTTGGGTATTTGTATTGGTGATTATTCACTGAAATTATCATTTTCTTCGAAATGCCATTTGCTTCAAGATTGTAACCCAGAAATCGAAAGAATAATGAAAACGTTTTCAACTCAAAAATCCAACAATTTTTCCATCACATATACCCTATTATAGATACAGTTGATTCGAATCAATAACTAATGAATTTGTATATGAAAATATTAATTATATCTTCATCCAAAAATGCACAAACAGTTCTGAATTTTGATGTTCCGTCGTTCCGAAGTTTATCATATCCCTTAATTTTAACAAGTATGGACCTGGATTTCATTTGTCGATTATTTTTTCAGCACTATACTGGATGAAGAATATACAGGGTGATTCTTAACTAAGGTACGACATTTCAAAGTGTGATTCGATATGTAGTTTAGAGAAAAATGTTTTCATGAACATATATCCTGAGTTTCTTCGTTTCTGAGATACAGTGTGTTGAAGTTACGAAAAAAAAACGGTATTTATGAAATATCATAAATATCTCTAGCCAGATTTGATTGGAATTTACCAGAGTTATTTGGAGTTAGTTTGGAATTATTAGGTTCAGAGGCGTCTCAGGGGGCAACGCAGCCAACAATATTGATAAAAAAAGAACGCCACTGACTTTTTGTAGTTTCTGATTTTTTTTAGATTGAACAACTAAGAATTCAAATTTTCTGTCGCTTGTGTTTCCTTCATATCAAGCTCCATTTTCTAGAAATCTGGTTAATATAAAAAAATTAAAAATTTCAACATCAAGTCAGTAGCGTACTTTTTTTCTCGAAATTGTTGGTTGTGGTGCCCATTGAAACGCCACTTCAACGTCCTGTATCTCAGAAACGAAGCAACTTCAAAAATATGTTCATGAGAACTTCTTTCCTAAAAACGACCTAACCAATCACCCCCTGAAGTTCCGTACCATAGTGATGAGGTATTCTTCACAATTCATCATTACAGTAGCTTAGGAAAAGAACCATTCGAAGAAAAAATTTCTAAAATTCCAAGTGTATTATTTCGTTGTATCGAGTTTTAAGTTAGACAGATAACTCTGCTGAATCATGTCTTCGCATTGTCTGGAAATAATATGTAAGGAGCAATAGCAAACATTTTGTTAATTTTTGTTACCATACCGAAATGTTTTCAGACTGTTTTGAAAACTGTCCCTATCTGGGTAGTATTTTTCGTTGTCCTGCAAGTGTATTGGTGGCCAACTACTCATATTCTTGATTGCTTCATCGGTGAGTCCGAATCGTGTATCCAAATCTATCCTGTAACAAAAATATAACTAGAAATATATACTTGTTATTGTCACTTCTAATGATGATAACTGAATATTCATTCAGATAATAATTGATATTGATATTACCATAGAATTCATCCAGAAAACTATTGAATGTAATATCATTTTGGAGTATGAGAGTTTATCAAATTCTATTATGGATTTGATAAAAAGTGTTTTTGAGGCCAAAACTGAAAAATTTTACATTTTTCGCAAATATCTTGAGAATCATTCGAATAAGGGCTTATTCCATCATTTAGTTATTTCAATACGTCGAATTTTCTATGATAATAGAAAATTCTTCATCTATGAATGTAACAATATATCACAGTGTTCAATGAAATTCAACGAAAGAAAACTGACATTTGATGGTGAAAAGTGGTGAATAAATAAATTTTCATTCTTGTTTTATACTTGATAATGGAGTCAAACCTGAAAATGGTCGTATGAATAAAATCTACCAGTGGTATTCAGACGAAAGTGTTTTTATTCATTTCATTTGAATGATCATGAAACCATATACTAAACAAGTCATCAATCACACATAATGAATACATATCCAACATTCAATGAACATGTGTACGTAAATGAATCTGTATCCACGAAGTCATGAAAAGTCTGTGAAAAAGAAGAAACATATTCTGAACGGAAAATTTGCCTTTGATGCGAGACCTACGATTTTGTAGGTACGTGTGGCAGATCCCGGACAGAGAAACAATAGCTAACCCAGCTAATGCCGCGCAAAAAGCTGAAGAAAAATCATAAGATACCTATGCAAGTTACCTGCTACATATCATCTAAATTAGTCTTTCTCAAAATGGGCGATAACGCCCTCTTGTGGGCGCTGGGGGCAGTAAATGGCACAGAGGGCGTTGAAGCGATTTAGGGGGGCGATGACTAATTTAAAAATGTTTTTTTTGTTTTTATCACAAACCTTACCGCCCCTTTATGCTTAAAGCGCGTTTTCTCGTTTAACTCCATCTAGGAAATTGGACAGTAACTATTTCCTGTTCGATAGTTGTGAAACTGTACAATAGATGGTGGTAAGCTTCAATGCGAAGCGAGAAGTTTTTAGTCTCCATTCTGGAAAGTACTAGGCCCGCCCGCTGCCTCATATAAAAGCGCGCGAGCCATCCAGCCAGTAATGCAGGGTTCCGTTGGCGACAGCGGAAGTGAGCAGACGTGTTGTGTGAGATCGCCGATTCCTGGTTGATGTTCAGCAGTCATACTGTGGTATTCCTACCTTTACGCTTAACGCGCGTTTTCTCGTTTAACTCCATCTAGGGAATTGGACAGTAACTATTTCCTGTTCGATAGTTGTGAAACCGTACAATAGAAGCGAGAAGCGAGAAGTTTTTAGTCTCCATTCTGGAAAGTACTAGGCCCGCCCGCTGCCTCATAGAAAAGCGCGCGAGCCATCCAGCCAGTTATGCACGATTCCTTTGGCGACAGCGGAAGTGAGCAGACGTGTTGTGTGGGATCGACGATTCCTGGTTGATGTTCAGCAGTCGTACTGTGGTGTTTCTAGCTTTAAATAGTGTGTGCGTTTCTGTTATTGTAAGCAGACTACTACACTTTCGGTGAGTACGTTCAAACATTTCATTTTCTAAACGTGTTCAGAGCTTGTTTCTGGGGTTTCATAGTTAATTTCAAAGTCACGGCAGTATGGAGGAACGACTATGCAGCCTGGCTGGAAAGGATTAGGGCGAGATTATTCGTTTCATAAGCCAATTAATCTCCGCCCTGAGCTCGACCCAGTCAGACTTGCTTGTGGCTAATACTCCGCCTGCCCGTGAATGTGTTTCCGATCGCGATTTCAGTGATAGCGATAGCGAAAGCTCCTTCTCCTCTTTTGTTTTCAAGAAGTGGCGTTTCAACGGTGTATTCCCTCCAGTACCTACCTGACGTATCCAAGCGTCGCATCGACGAGTGGATTCGTACTAAAAAAAGCCAGTCAATAAAACTAACCCCGAAAACCTGAAGAAAAAATCTATTTTTGACAACGTCAAGGTCGAGGCTCGGAATTACTATTTCGAGTCTGAGGCTTCTTTGCATTCAAAGACCCAAAATCATGTCAATGAGCTAACGAAAATTTGAACGACGTTGAAATAATAATGATAATCGTCTTTATTGTTACCCAGCTGTAGTTACATACAAATATTCAACTAACATTAGAGAGCTAGTTACTGACATAACAAAAGGGAAGTTCAACTTAGTTAGCACAAGTGCTACTGAGTTTTTCTCAGTAAACGTAAACACAAATGGACGTAAACACAAATGCGTCCAATGATAGTGCCTTCAAAAAATCCGAAGGCACTGACTGTCAGGTCAGTTCATGACGAGGAGCCCACCCCTCCCCGCCCCTCTAAAGCAAAACTTGCATCCATCAGCCATAAAGCGTCACGCGCATGAAGTGTGCTGGCATAGTGATGTCATTCGACGATATTACGAAAACAAGTGAATTCAGTTAGCGACTAGCTAGGTAAAGTGCTGTACGTGCGGTGGTGAATATTGTGAGTGCTGTCATTAGCAAGTTTTTAATACATACATTTTTCATTTCGGCATTTCTGAAGACAAAATTGTGTCGAAAGCAAAAAAGAAGAAACCGAAGTATAGCTAGGAATATATAAAATATGGATTTATTCAAAATCCCCCAAATCCATTTTCACCTGTATGACTTCTTTGTCAAAAAACATTTTCGAATGAAGCGATGAAACCCTCAAGGCTACAACATCATTTGAACAAAATGCAATCAGATAAAAAAACAAAAGTGTGACTTATATTTTCAAGAACTGGAAAAGAAACACTCAGCTCAGCCAACTGTGTCAAAACTTTTTTCAGCGACTTGTAAGCAAGACGACGACGAACTCCGAGCTTCCTACAATAACTCCTTGCTAATTGCTCAAACAGGTAAACCTCACACTATTGGAGAGGATTCAATTTTACCGGCAATAAAAGAAGAAAAAACTACCTTGCCTCATAAATCAGCGGCAGGTATTATCCGAAAAATTCCTTTGAGCAATAGTTCTGTGCAAAGACGAATTGATGAGATGGCTGAATATATTGAAGAGTCATTGTGCAATCATCTGAAGACTTTCAAATTCTAAATTCAGTTAGACGAGTCCACTATACCAACTAAAGTAGCAATGTTGTTGTCATACATGAGGTTTATTGAAAATGAGAAAATATATCAAAAATAATCCTTTTTCAAATGTCAACACAGCAGGATCACCTCAGCTGGAAGAAGAACTCATAGAACTGATAATGAACGAGGAAATGAAAATAAAATTCAAAAATTGATACCAAGAATTTTGGCTACAAAAGTCAATCCCGCAATTGTACCCTGGATTGTGGTCCATAGTTCAACGATTTCTGATAGCATTCACATCATCGTATCTGTGTAAATGTGGATTTAGTGCTGTGGCAACGTTGCTAACTAAAAAGAGAAATCGGTTGCAGATTACCGATCGCGGTGACTTACGGCTGTTTTTGAGTAAATTCGAGCCTGACATTAACAAACTTGTTAAAAATCATCAAATTCACCCGTCACATTAGATTAGTTTTGAAATTCAAATCGAAATGTTATTGTAATAACATGAATAAAAGTTGTTCTAAAATTACAAAATGGTGTTTCACTTAGCCCCATCAGAAAATCTTAGTTTCACATGACACACAAAATTTAATTAAAAAAGTAATGACTACGATTGTGATTCTCAAGATGTAGTGAAGTAAAAATATGTGGGAGGCGCTAGAAAATAATTAATTCTGAAAGTGGGCGAACTGTTTTAAAATAGAACTATATTCATAATACCGAATGTAGCTCATTTATTTATCTTTCCAGGTGTTTGTTCGTGACTTTGATGGTGTTTACGTTTATTGACTGCTTACTTTTGGTTTTTCTGTTAGCCGGATTCATCTTTCAAATAAGTATATTTTCAATTTTCCCTGAATTGAACTCATCTGTCCTGATTGGTTTAGGTTGAGATTGAAGAAAAATACCTGATTTTTTTATGTGTTCGATCCTAGTTTCACAATTGTTGCATTATATGATAGTCTCTCTTCGTCTGCTAGATCTAGCGGAAATGACTGCTGCTATATCTTCATCGTAAAAGTGAATATATTTCGTCCCGGATCATCTTAGGTGTTTTGCGATTCCCACAAAAACTCAATGGAGAAACCTAGTCAATTCAATAGATGCACACATTGCATACTTTCGAAAAAAAAATAGATGAAATTGCACCAGAGCAGAACGTTCCTACGGTTCTATAAACAACTCCGATTTCAAATGTTTTCTTCATGAACAATTTTTGTCAACTGTTTTTTATGGAAATAAAGTTGAATCACTGGAATGAGTAGCTATTAATAATACAAGTTGGGGTTCAGAAGGTTTTGAGAACTTGCTGTAGGTAGGTTCAGGAATTATATGCTTCATAATAACGTTTTCACATATAGTTGATATAAAAGACTTCAGTACCTTTTTGAGGAGACGCTTGTAAAAACATTGAATGCTACTTCTGATCTCTCCAACTGCATTCTGGTTACAACTTTTCCTAACTCTGTAGCGAATGTCACCTGTGGAACAAAATATTTTCATCAGTTACATCAGATAAGTTTTATTGAATGTTCAAATTTTTGACTATATATGAATTTCAGATAGTATCTGCTGCTCTGAAATGACTCACAGCTGATAGATAAAATAGTTGGTACATATTATCTATTTGGCCTTCCTCGCCACACTCTAACATTTATGAAATACAAAAATGAAGTAATATGAATATCCTCAACCTACACAAAGTATCTGTGATTATTTCCCATAATATGTGAGAGATTTGCACTATGTAGATGTCTCCTAGTAGCCATATTCAACCATCCGATGTTTCGTAATGTGGATAATATAGGTATTTTGACTTCTACAAATTCCAAAAATGAATTCTCAACATGCATACTGTACCATTAGAATTTTGTTTCGACATTGGCTTGTTGAGCAAGGACCATGAAGGAAATCATAATAATTGAACAATGACAACAACAATGTCTCACACTCACACTCACTCACACTCATAAATACGCTACAAATGCAATACGGATTTGAACAGACGGCTCAAAAACCAGAGAAGGCTCAGGATGTGGAGTGTACTCTAGATAGTCTAGATCACTAAGCCTAAGAATTGAGTGGGGAACGAGAAGAAATACCAGCGGTCCAAACGGAATTGGCTGGTTACTCAATCGCCCAAAAGAAATAACCAAGAAAAGAATTTAAAAAAAATAATAACAATCTGGACTGACAGCAGACAAGCCCTATTAGCCTTGAACAGACAACGTATAACCTCAGGGCTAGTAATAGAGTGTCACCAAGATTTAGCCAAAGCCTCGGTAGATAATAACATTATCCTGAGGTGGGTTGAAGGGCATGACAGGAGTAAAGGTAATCGCATTGTCGACTCTTCAGCCAAGAAAGCGTCTGGACTAAGAATTTGAAGATCCAGTGGCACCTACAGACTGATAACTTCGACAATTGCGGAACTAGTCAAATGTTACACCCAGGCTCAATCCTTAAAGAGATGCGATGGAATTAAAGGATGTAATCTTGCCTGAATCACCTTGAGCGACCTTGGAAAGCTGGCGTCGTAGAAATATCTGACGATGACCAGGAAAGATCTACGCCTAACAGTAGGATTTCTGACTGGCCACTGTCAACTAAGGAAACACCTCTATAATATGGGGCTAGTGGACACACCTCTATGCAGGATGTGTGAACAGGAATATGAGACTGTCAGTCATGTCTTGTGCGAGTGCCCGGAGTTATTGTCAATAAGAGAGTGTGTGTTCGGCGAGTCTTGGCCTACATCTGCCGATATAAAGGAGATGTCTCCCAGTAACCTGTCCACTTTCCTGGAAAGGACAGGATGGACAATGCCTAGGAGGACAACTCCTCGGGAGGATATACAAAAGGTCACATGTGGCTCGAGTGCTGGGGGCTCACACTCACCCTCCCTACTCTACAGATACAGATCTTATGAATAGGGTGTATATCGTTTTCAAAATTGAATATGCTCAAGTTAGTATCTATCAGAATAACAAGGTTTCCAGCTTCATCAACCAACACCAGCGGTTTTTTCTAAGGACAAAACACAAGCACTACATAACAATCTCAAAGATGCTCTTAGAGCGGTGTCTGTGCGAAAGAATCTATTCCAGCAGCTTCAGAGAATGCTTTGGGGTGGAGCACCATACATGGAAACAATACTCCAAAGAAGGTCTGATCTAAGCCTTAGAAAGCATCAAAAGTTGTTTAGGTGTGTACTGTTTTATGGTTCGGAACAGTTTTCAGCTTTTGAGAAGCAACCTTCGCAAATCCAGCGACATGATTGTGCCAAGACATATTGGTGTCCATTTCAATCCCCAGCAAATTCATCGAAGCAGAAAGCGGAATTGTCTGTCCTGACATTATTATATCAAGATAGGAGACATTTATCCTTCTGGAGAAAACCGATGCCTAGGATTTTCTGGCATTGAATTCAACCTCCTTACTTCCACCGCAATTCGAATTCACTTCTAGATCATTATCAAGATATGTAACCTCTTACTGCCGGTGGAGATGTGCATCCGCATTAGATGTCCTAGAAACCAAATAGAATGACGAGACAAGTGTGCTGTTATCAGCAAAGCAATATATTCGATTCTACGTTTTTTCCCTATAAGTACCAAAGACAACCCCCGAGAGTCGCTGTCAGGCGGCTCCAGTAAGTATAATTTTCTCGTTGAACCTGAAAAGGTTCAACGAGAAGCACTCGACCGCGATCTATTTTGAAAACAATAGACTTCGGTTAGTTTTTGCGGACCTCATGCAAAAATTCAGTCAGGAGACTCGAAATAAAACCATACAACAGATCAGAAAGTTAAAGCACCCAGAGGCTGTTTTTCGACCAAAGAAGGTCAGATGTCAAACTTACTGATGTGTCCATCGGTATGTTGATTACCGCTCCGGGCAAGCGGGGGTGGATGGATGAGATAGGATGTTCTGCACACATTCACCGTATGGAGAAGATTTCAACTTAGGGCACTCAACCCGTGAGGGAGCACGGGGGGGAGTACGATGACGGGGTACTTCATCAGAACCAGAGCTGTTTCAAAATTCGCCTGACTAGACGTAGTAGAAAAGTAATTTCTGGCATTGAGAATTCTGGTGTGAGAAAAGTGGGTGATGCTTTTCCCAGAAAATCGACTGTGTAGTGGGACGCAAATCGTTCAGCTAGTAGATATACTTCATCAAGGGCAGTTCTTCCATGATTCTCTGATTGTGAAGTTTTTTGCTTCCATTCATTCTGAATTTGTAGCTGTTGCGTGCAACAACAAACCTAGTCAAGTTTTCGGCAATAGGATTTTTGCGCCACTGTCGGTGGCGCCCTACGGCGTCATTGTCAAGTCGCATAAGCCTTTTTACTTTCTTTCCAGTTTTAGATGCGTCCACATGTTTTTCTTCAATGTTTTCCTGAAACGAAGTTTTCGAACATTTTCAATAGGTGGGATAATACCATGTAGCCATAAATACTTCAATTCGACTTCATTCGAATCGTTCTTTTTTTTCTGAGGAGAATTCTCATAAGTAGTAGTTTGTTCATTATCTTCCCTGCAATTCAACATATGACATCAATGCCATCAATGATTTTTAGTGATTCGGCGATTGTATGCAAACCAACTACGTTTGCAGACATAAGCCAATTGTTCACTCTAACATCCCCATGACGCATATCATGGGGAAGTTAGAGTGAAGGTTCAATTGTTCCTTATTGCTTCCCGCAGTATCCTAGCTGGTTCCGATGTTGCTTCGTTAATTCAATTTCCATTTTTAAATCTATCTGATTCACCAGATTCAATGATTTATCTGAATTAGTTTTGTAACTACGTACTGTTAGGGGGTTAGTATTTATTTTCCGGGAATAGCAAATGATAACAATTTTTTTAATAATCATGGCTTTATTGTTTTTCGAAATATTAACCTTGATGATCAGTATACCTTTCCAATCATTCAAACCATTTATCAAAGCATTTTTTCCATTTCTCTTTAGACACCTACAAAACATGGTTTTTGAACACTTCAACTATTTCAACTGCGCTGGAAAATCGTTGACCACGCAGTTCACTTCTGATATTCGTGAACAAGAACAAGTCAAGGGGTACCAAATAGGACTTTACGGAGGATGAGTCATTAATTCGAGGTTTTGACTCCTCAAAATTCACATTTTTGACGAGATATCTGAGAGCTCGCATTGTCGAGAAGGAGAATGATTGGTCTTCGGTGGTTTGTTTAACAAATTTCTCCAAAGACTTTCGACAACCAAATAGTCGTAACCACTCAGAATTGACCATTCTACGTTGCTCAAGCGAAATAGTGGCCACATGACCCATTCGGCCAAAGAAACAGGCGACCTTTTGCTTTCTTGTGCTTCCTCCACGAACAACTTTTGTTCAGTAAATATGCAGTAGATATTTTTTGGGAGTGATTATCACTTTTTATGCAGTCTGTTCATGCAGAATCGAATGTATTGAAGTGGAACTGATGTCCAAGGATGCCTCTATTCCAAAATATGTCACATGACGATCTGCATCGATGTGAGCAACCACTGAATTCACTATACCAGCGACAGATTTGAAAAAAATTCCGACAAAAACCTCCTCTAGGTATTTCAATTATTTATTCAAATCGATTTTCTCAACTCACTGTGAACAAAACAGATAACACTTGTACATCAAAATGAATTATGTTAATGCTGAAAAATGTCAAACTTTATTAAGGTGGTACCACATTTTACGCCTTGCGTCAGTTCCCGAAATATAAATAGTTCCTCGTCGTATATACAAATTTTTTAATTGTTCCATGTATCAGTTCCACTGATGAAAGTATCATGTGGTGAAACAAGTCTTGAATTGAAATCAATATTGTGAGAATTGTGTAATTATTATCATGGATAGTGTTATCGATTTTCATCAGAGAACGAGTTAATTCATAATTGAAAATTACTGACAAAAAGTTCTTTTTCGTATAACTGTCATTGAAAGTGACATTTTTAATGGTTGTCAAGAGTATTGAAAAATGGTGTTCACAAAGTAGCGTGTTATAATAGGGGAGCCCAAGCGGGGATTTCGGAATTTACTGAAGCGCGGCAGATTAATATACAGAGCGATACCTTGTACCCGGTTAAGTACCTTCACCAAATATGAGCCCCATATAAAAGGCCGCCCGTGAAGGATAAAGGATCAGATTAGTAAAAAAAAATTGATTATCAGAAATTCTCGAGCGCGTCAGATTAAGGTAGGGTGAGTTGATTACATGCTAAAAAGTGTATATTCCAGTAATCTGACAATTTGAGAGTGACGTAAAGAAAGGGGAGGGCAGCAAAGTTGTAAAAAAATAACGTCATTTCGACATTCTCGAGCTTATCTATTTTTTTATTTTGAAGGAAATAATTCAAGGATAACGAAAAATATATAATCTGACGATTTCCGCAACCCGAAATAACAAAAATTCGTCGATAAAGTTT